TGAAGCCACTTGATAGCAGGAAGAGCCCATCCAATACTAAGTTCATTATCAGTGAGGTTGGCAGCCTATTTGCTTAGTGTAAAGACAGAGCAAATTAAAGCAGTTATTAGACAGCATTTCAAAAAGCCCAGATTGCTACCTCAGAAACTATATGTAGCATCTATAAAGGAAATACTGGTATGTACATGGGTTCCTGGATGTGTAGCAGGAGGCGGAAGGACCCAAAGATGATTGAATCTGAGAGAAGAGAAGCAAGCATGGTGACAAAGTAGAATCCTAGTGAGGGGTGTTACTAGTGAAAGGAAAGATCTCTCCTTTGCTGAGGACATGGTCCTTCACTATCCTTGAGTAATGAAAATGAAGATAAGAGTAAAATTTATCCATAATGACAGAGGTGACGTAATCTACAGGCACAATTAGAACCACACAGCCACTGGAAATATCACCACTACTTGAAACCTCAACTGTGTACCCTTGACCAAGAGATATCATTACAGTCACCTTTTTATCCTGAGCTCACTCAGCAATCTCCCAATCGCATCTCACTCACAATGTAGATTTATGCCCTATATTATGATTGTCAGTCAGAGTTCAATCAAGAAAAGAGAAACCACACTAGTTATTACAATGAAACTAATTTTAGTATACATATGATTAAATGCTTTTGTGATAGGCACAAAAAAAAGTATGGTAACAGAGCCATAACTGTCCAATATAGTGACAACACCACAGACAAAGAGGCATGGGGAAAAGATTGGGCATTAGCACATGTGATCTTTATTACAATTATTAGAAGAATTTAAGACAAGCCAGTTGGAAAATCAGAGAAGTGGTTTAAAGATTCCCAGCCCCTACCACAGCATCACAACTTAAAGTATAGAAGGGTAAGTTTGGGGCAGAAAATAATAGCTTAATTATCCAGCCCAATGAACCAGTTGTAGAGTGTAACAGGTAAAGATAGGTAAAAAAATATTACCAAGAATATGAGGGGGAAAACCACATTGGCTATTGTTATAGAAAACTCTTTCATATCTCCTCCTTTCGGATCTCCGATCACTTTGAGATGGTCAGGGTTTGACCATGAAGAACAAACACATGCAAGTTATTTTTGGATGAAAGATCTGATGAAATTCAAGAGTCCTCCACCTTGGCTGCACATTAGACTGACCTGGGGTGCTTTAAAAAATTGATCAAGTTCTTTTTACTCTCCAGTCCAATCAAATCTTAATTGGTGGTGGTGGGACTCAGGCATGAGGATTTTTAAAGTGTATCAGATGTTTCAAACATGAAGCCAAGATTGAGAACCAGTGACATACATTCTCTCATACAACCTGCATGAACAGATTTGATCAAAGCCAAAGTTTTATGGGAAATAGACATGACAGTGAAAATGGGTGAGAATATATTTCATTGTTTATTTAAATTCAATTTATTAACATATAATGTTTAATTCATTTTGGAATAGAGGTCAGTGAGTTATCAGTCTTATGTAATTCTCAGAGCTCATTACATCATGTGCCCTCCTGAATGTCCATCACCCAGTTACCCCATACCCCAACCCCTCCCCTCTAGCAACCCTCAGTTTGTTTCTTTTTTTTTTTTAAGATTTTATTTATTTGACAGACAGAGATCACAAGTAGAGAGAGAAGCAGACAGAGAGAGAGGAGGAAGCAGGCTCCCTGTTAAGCACAGCACCCAATGTGGGGCTCAATCCCAGGACCCTGGGATCATGACCTGAGCCAAAGGCAGAGGCTTTAATCCACGTAGCCACCCAGGCACCCCAACCCTCAGTTTGTTTCTTATCATTAGGAGTCTCTTATGGTTTGTCTCCTTTTCTGATTTCATCTGGTTTGATTTTCTTCCCCTCTTCTATGATCCTCTGTTCTGTTTTTAATTTCCACATATCAGTGAGATCGTATGATAATTGTCTTTCTCTGACTGACTTATTTCACTTAACATAACACCCTCTAGTTACACCCATATATTTACAAGTGAAAGATTTCATTTGTTTGATGGCTGAGTAGTATTCCAGAGAATATATTTTAAAAGACAGTTTGATTTTCTACAGGATACCTGGGTCATAGGTTACAAATACAGAAGATTCCACAGGTTTAGTAAGATTCAATTGTGCAGTGATTTTGCCATACATAGAGTCCCAGAATATTCCCTTAATTCCATCAAAGATGTGCCAAGATGAGCAATACTCAGGTATGACAAATCAGGAGGGATGGGAACCATGAGCTACCAAAATTATAAGGCCAAAGAGGAAGCTTGACAATTCCATGTTTGGTTTTGCAATCATTTATAATTAACAGACAAAAAAAGAAGTCGAAGACTAGACTGTTCTGTTGAGGAGTCTCTGCAAAGCCCTCTTGACGTCCCCATTCCGCAAGCTGTAGATGAAGGGATTCAGCATAGGAACAACCAAAGCATACATTACTGAGGTCACTGCACCCTTCCTGGGAGAATGTGAGACAGCTGAACTGAGGTACACACCAAGGCCTGTTCCATAAAATAAGCAAACAACCGACAGGTGAGAGCCACAAGTGGAGAAGGCTTTGTTCTTCCCACCTGTGGATGGGACTCTCAGAATGGAAGAAACAATTCGTGTATAAGAACAAAAGATCCCTGAGAGGGGAATACCACCAAAGATGGCACCTATAAAATAAATTATTATGGTGTTGATGGAGGTATCAGAGCAGGCAAGGTGGAAGAGTTGAGGTGCATCACAAAAGAAATGATGAATTTCCACATTTGTGCAAAAGGTAAGCTGGGACACCATCAAACAATGAATCTGAGATTCCAAAAGGCTGATGAAAAATGACATCAGGACCAACAGGCCACAGAGGCATGGGCTCATAATGACTGAATAGTTCAGGGGGTGACAAATGGCCACAAACCGGTCATAGGCCATCACAGCCAGGAGCAGATTGTCCAAACACCCAAACAGGAAAAAAAAGGACACCTGCGTTAGGCAGCCTGCATAGGTGATAGACTTGCTGTGTGTTTTGAATGTTCACCAGCATCTTGGGGATTGTTGTGGTGCTGAAACCA